GAAGAATGCCGATTGCGGCGTCGTACTGCTGGAGCTGATTGTTTATGACGATCAAGGCTTCAACAGCTGGTCCGCTCTGGTCCTGTAGGAACTCTAATTCCTTGTAATGGAGGGCTTTCGCGTATGCATGACAACGGCCGGCCTCCCTACCGAGAACCCTAATATCAATAGGCAAGGCTTTGTCGTCATGCTCCATGAATTCGGCTAGGTTGAGTAGGAGCCCAAGTAGGTCTGGCGGGACGTTCTGGGACCGTATGGCATTCTCGATATTTTGGATGAGCTCGTCCTGGAACTGCTCGTAGAGCTCGCTCCAACATGAGACGAAAGCCGAATTAAATAACTCACGGGCAAGGGGAAGATGCACACTACCCAGAATAGCACAGGCACGCAGGGCATGATTTGGCGACTCTGTAAGGAGAGTTGTGCTGAAGCGTCGTAGCCATTCTTGCCAGTCTTCCTTAGTAGACTTGCCTTTGGTATCCCAGGCGGCTTTCAAGTGAATCGCGTTCATCTCGAGTTTCTTGTTGCCAAGGTCAGCAAAAGATGGCTCGTCTAACTGGTCAATGAACCGCGTCTCCGAACTCAAATCTTGCGGCAGAGCCTCTCCTTTCTGTAGCTTGCTGACAAGAAGCTCGTAATTTTGATGTTGGATCTGGCTGGCTTGCAGAACTTTGTTGACGGTGCCCATGAAGTGTAGGTAATCCCGCCCGAGCTGTTGAATTAATGCACAAAGAGTATCCAGCGCTGCTACGCGTAGAGAGGATTCTCCACTAGCAAGAATTCTAGTTAGTGGATGGATGATTTTGGCGGCGTAGTCGTTTAGGTTGACCTGACGAGAGATCTTGCCAATGGTCTCAATAGCCGACTTCCTCAAGAATGTTGGCTGGCCCTGCTTCTCGAACGTCCGCACGACCACGGGGATGATTAAATGCATATATTCTTCGCTGCTAGAGCCAAATACCAGGAAGGCATGCAGGACTTTCTCGGAAGGAATCCGCTTAGTAGTCGCATCCTTCTCTAGGACGCCAAGCATCGCAGGGAGGAGGCCTGCGAGATAGATCTTGAACTCTCCCTCCAAGGATCTCGAGATGGCCTCAACAAGTGATAATATTGTAGCTTGGAGCGAGGGCGATGTATCCCAGTAATTATGGAGCGTGTCGATAATCTGTGGCAGGTAATTCCTGATGTGCTGTCGTACGATGCTAACCAGCGTGGCCAACTGGTTGAAATATGATTCGAGACGATTCTGTGGGCAGTCCTTGATAACTTCTAAGAACGCGGGAATGATACGGTCTAGGAATTGGACACACTCTAGCCCGAGCGTGCGAAAGATATTCATAATGGCTTCGATAACCGCGGCATGGTGCGGGGCGAGTGAATTGTCTTTTAGGATGTTTAGTAGGGCGTTGATTACGACAGTAGGATAATACTCCTTATTAGAGGGTGTTAAACCTGTCATCATGAGCGAGATATCGGTCATCCTATTGGTCTCGACGCGCCGTTTGGCATCGGGAGCACGCTCTTCTACTTGCTGTTCGTTGTTTTGGTTAGCTTTCTGTTTATACAAATGTGGTTTCTCCCGGGAATGCTTTGGGGTTTTGTTAGGGGGCTTTAGGGAAATTCCCTGATGCTTCACTTCAGCAACAGAGTCCTGGTCTAGGGTGAGAGGACTTCCAGTCTCACCCGCGTATTTCTTTAATCCGTGGACACGCCGCCAGGTATGGTCATCTTGGGGATTCTGTACCTGATATCTGTAAGGATCCAACGCCCCCAAAATCCCCATCAGCTTAATCGTCTCCTGTCGTAGAGGCCCTCGCTGGGGTTCGGCGCGGATGATGTGTTGAAGTAGGTCCAGGAGCTCGGGATACTCGAGGTAAGGGTCGATAACGTAGCCAGAGTTACTGGCAAGCTGACCAAGAGTGTGCAAGGCAGCTTCTCGCTTAACGTTAGAGGCGTGGTCCTTCAACGCATCGATAATGATCGGCATAAGCTTATCCTTATAGGGAAGCATGTCTTCCCCCCCTACCGTCGCAAGCTCGCCGATTGCCTTGAGAATAGTGGCTGCAACGGCATGATTCGAGTCACCAGCCTTCGGAAGGAGGACCGAAATCATTGGCTCAACATATGGCTTGATTAATCCTTGGGCGTTCTGCACTAAGTGGCTGAGGAGTTTTGCGCTCTCCTCTTTGTTGCGTGGGGCATCCGAAAACTCGAGCTCGGTAAGCATCTGTATCAGTGTCTTCCGCAGAGAGGGGATCACATAAGCTGGGTTATGTCGTGCTAGCCGTCCTATGATCGAGATTGCTACTTCCCTGATTTCGAATACTTCATCATTGAGCGCGAAGAATAACGTCCGGATGTTTTCGGCTTTTGCCAGGTGGGGATCGAACCGCTCGTCGAGAGCCGCAAGTACGGTTCGCCGTATATTCGGTTCCGGATCGGATACACCTACAGTTAGTAGCTTCTCGATAACATCTCCGACAACCTGCAGCGCGTGGTAACTTGTCTGATTCACAATCGGATCTCGAACATAAAGTTGGCAGCAAGTGAGAGCAGCGGCTTCGCGGATTTCGGGATCGTCGTCTTCGACATATTTGATGGCAACGTCGCGGACGAATTCATTTAAAATGTGACCTCCATATACCGTTAGCATATGGCGTTTCTGAGACCGAATTTTGCTCGTAGTAGGTAAAAGGGGTAGTTGAGCCAATAATTGATTGAGCTCGTGCGATAACCAAGGATTTAGGGTAGTAGGATAGGATAGGATAGGATAGGATATAATTATTACCTGAGAAGTCAAAGCTTCCTAACGTATTCAAAGCCAGCTTCACCTCAGCCTTCCGGTGTTCATAAGCTTGCAGATCCTTTGCGTCTTTAGGTATGATAGGGACAGACGAAAGCGTATTCGGAATAGGAGCTCCAAGGGGTTTGAAGGGTTCTCCACACAAGACTTTACTTAGCATATCAAGGAGCCTCTCCTGGATGGTAGCTTTCACAGGCGGTATATAAAATGCCATATCAACCAAGGCCTGTGTGAGTTTCGGAGTAAGCTCGCACGCAAATATGGGATCTAGAAGCGCTTCCATGTATTTGCTAAGAGTCTGGCCGACCGCAACGGCGAGTCTGCTAATACAATCAAAAACGGGATCAACAGAACCTCGTTTTCTAGATTGAATGCTGAGGCCATCTCGGACATAAATCAGAACACTGTCAAGATATGGAGCGATGGCACTCTTCACCGAGTTGGCAATATTTCCGATAGCCAAGAAAGCGTCATTCCGCTCTTTATCTTTCTTGAGCATGCCAGATAAATAAAGCATAAACTTGTGAAGATAGGTATGGGCAAAGTCGGCCGGGGAATAATTGGCCAGGTCTGGGATGAGTAGGACTACCGTCTTACGGATAGTTACGTCGCGATGATCTTTGTTACGGAAGACGATCTCACACGCCTCCTGATAATGCTCCTGCATATACATGCCTCCCTGCTCAAGAAGCTCCTTAAGAACTAAGAGGGATGCATGGACGTACTCAACGGTGTTCGTCTTGAGGCCGGTGATGGTTTCATTGTACATCTTGGTCATCCACGCCTGCTTCATCTCCTGGTCTCGCTCTCGAATAATGCGGAAACAGGCACTAACCGTCTCGGCAGATGTCGCGCGGATCAGTTGGCGCTGGTCGCGAAGACCAACCCATATTAAGTCGAAGATGAGGCCAACATAGGTGTACATTAAGGTGGGCGCATTCCGGGCCAGCTCGCGGAGGACCAGGACAGCACTATATCTCTTTTCCTCCACCCTGTCCGATTGAAGCCATTCAAGAGCCGTCTTGACCTCGGATTCGACCAACTCAGATATCAGCGATCCACCAGGTCGACAGAGCTTTCCGAGAGCGATCGCTGCGGGTTGCATAGGCACGATATCCTTTCCTCTAAGGATAGTCTTGAGGTTCGCCGTGAATCGGGTGTATTTGGCAGTGACGTCGACGCCTTCGAAGTCGACTAGCGCGTCAAGGGCATAGACACCACCCAGACGTTCGGAGGAGTCGTTACCATGGAGCATCAAAGTCGTGATCTTATTATTAACGGAATTATAGAATACATGGAATTGTTCTGACTGGAAGTCTGCGGTGAATCGTGGTCAGCTCATGTAGATAGAGACTGGAAGGTGAAGGTGAAGGTGAAGGCGAAGGCGAAGGCAAAGGCCGTCTCGACGTATTTCCTGGTAGCGCAGACAAGAATCGTAAAATACACACCTCTGAAGCAAACAGCGACCAAATCTCTCAGTTGAGCAGCCGCCCGCTTTCTTACTTCATCTCCAGCCCTATTCGGAATCGCAATAATTAGTTGGAACAGCGGGGTTTAGCAGAGGGAAGAGTCGCACCTTGATTTTAGTTCTCTAGTGATAGTATCAAGGGCCTCCAGGGCCAGCTGCTGTTGTTGCGCCATGGTAGGCGGCGGCTGGAGGGGATATCGACCTCGTTACCCTTCAGCCGCGTCGAGAACAGCTTCAGGAATTAACCTCGAAATGCATCAAGATCAAGGGTACTACCAGAACCACTGCGACATCCGATCGCAAGGACCTGTTAAGAGAAAACCAATTTGGCAACGATGAAAAAACAGAAGGGAAGAGGAAAAAGAACAAAACGTTGCGTGAAGGCTGTTGTTGTTATTGGAGAGTGTCTACACGCCTTCACCTTTGCTTAATGGGGTGTATTCAAGCTCGTGGACGAAAAGGTAACAGGGGAGAGAGAGAGAGAGAGAGAGAGCTGTACAAGGTCAAGGTATGTACCTATGCACCAAACTACCGGTGACCTAATAGGTATCAAGTTTGAAGTAATTCTTATCGGTTAAGTGCACACTGTATAGCATATGCAAGATATGAATAGTTTTTAAACCCAGCATTTAATCATTTATGTACCTAGGGCACATCCGGTACTTACCGCTAAGCTTTATCTTATCGATAGCCCTGGCGTTTCTTATCGCGCCGGTCGCATAACAACTTCTGAGATCATGCGATAACTACCTAGCTTTATTTCCCTTCCTTCAACTACTCGAATACTTATCCTGCAGTTTGCTCTTTCAATTGCTTGAATACGCCAATCCTCACATAGCCTTACTCTTCTTCCACTCCCAGGTCGAGCAAACTCCAATCCCATACAATACCGTCCTATTGTCGTATACCACATTCTTCACCATGGGAAACGATGGCGGCTCCATTCCCAAGCGGCGCGAGCTTGTAAGAGAAGCCGCCCGGCTGCCAACCGCCTCGGAATTAAAAGCCACGGCCTTGGAGTCTTTGACACACGCTTGGACGATGTGCCCCTTATCCGACGTGCCACTCGATTTCTCCAACACGGTGTCAGACTGGCGGGGGCGACTCTACAACTACGAATCCGTACTACAGTGCCTAATGCCCTCATCTTCCGAGACGCCCGTATCAGAGACTCAAGAGTCTGAGTTTTCTCGCACGGGGATAAAGAGCTTGAAAGACGTTGTGAAACTCAAGATTACAACAAAGAAGGACGAGAAGGGACGTGAGTTCGCGGCCTGCCCCGTCAGCATGAAGGAGCTAGGCGCTGCCACTAAGAGCGTGTATATTGTCCCGTGCGGTCATCTCTTCGCGGAGGTGACCATGAAAGAGATCTCCGACACTGAGACGCAATGTCCCGAGTGCAGCTCATCCTTTGAGAAGCGAGACGTCATACCTATATTACCAACGGACGAGGCTGAAGTAGAAAAGCTGGCTAAAAGAGTTGACGATCTAAGGGCATTGGGTTTAACGCATAGCTTAAAGAAGGATAAGAGTTCCGGCAAGAAGAAGCGCAAGGCCGATGATGCGAAGGAGAATAAAACGAGTAGCGACCAGAAAGAAAACGATATCAGCAAGACTGATAAGAATAAGGAGGATAAGAATGGCATCGCAAGCCGGATAAACAATCCCATGACTGCGTCTCTCACAGCCAAAGTGCTAGCCGAACAAGAAGAAAGGGCCAAGCGGAGGAAGATAGCGGATGGATATAAGAGGAGTGAGGCTGTGAGATGACGTGCCGAGATAGATACCAAAGGGACTTGACGTGTAACTAGTCGATTAATACCACAAGCTATGAAGAAGGTCACTAACTTTGCATATTACTTAGTTATTCTATTCGTGTCTTGTTTGTTTTAAGGGCTCTTTTTCGGAACCGACCTGATCGTATATCATAAATTCTTATCTAATTTGCCGCAGATGCCTCCAGGGAATTGATTCTAAAGCACTAACTTATAGGGGCACAAGGACCACATCACAATTCGTCCTTAGCATGGCCAGGCTCTACTGTCTCTTCGCAGACAGCGGGTGTGCCCACTTCCATCTTGTAAACACACTTCTCTAACTCGCTAACCCGCCATAACTCTTCGGTCTCAGCACAAGCAAGCCAAACATCCGTCTTGCGGTTGGGGCCATTCCAGCAGCCCTGGCCGTTTTCGTACTTTAGAACCACACGCTTGCCCCGGCCTAGACCCTTGCCGTCATGACGCTCTTCCTCGTCCGCCTCATCAAAGTCGAACCTGTCGAAGTTACCCATAGTGGTCTTTCCTCCTCCCTTCTTGCTCTTCTGGCTCGTCTTGTCCATCCAGCATAGCTCGTACTCATATTCGCCGGCCTCAGTTGTAATGCACTTGCCTTTCAGATACCGGAAGATATCGTCTTGGCCGTAGTCCTTCTTTAGGTCCTGCTGTTGCTCTTCCAGCGTCCGCCTTTTGGCGTTGACATCATTGGCGACGGAGTCGTGGGCCTCCCGAGCAGCCCTAACGAGACGAGACTCGCTCTTCTCAGAACTCGTATCAGCCAACATACCATTTTCGATCAGCCATATCCGTAGGGAGCTGATCTTATCATGAAGGAATTCACGAAGCGGACCAGGGAGGTAAGCCTCGAAACTGTATACTACATTGAATTAGCTTATGCACAAACATGAAAGGCTTGGGCATCTCTAGGGACGTACAAATATCGGTGTCCGTTGCTTCGTCTTCTTCGAACTCCTTCCAGTTAATGCCAGACTCCTCACTATCCTCCTTCATGACTTCTGTGATATCATTCTCGTTAAGCTGTTCCTGGGCTTCTCCAGCCTTCTTGGCGGCATAATCTTCCCAAGCTCTGACAGCCTTCTTGACACCTTCGTCGTTGAAGTTGGGGTTGTATTCCTCCTTGAACGCCGCCAGAACGCTTTCTAGCTCCTGAACCTTGGCTGTGAGCTTGTTACGCTCGCCCACGACTTTGCTCAAGGTGTCTCGTAGCTCATTGACTCTCGTCTTAGCTAGTCCAGTGAGTACACCAAGCTTTCCAGGCCCTTCGTTTTTGACGACTTTGAAGCGCTCTTGGCGCTCGACCTCGTCCAGCTTCGTTTTCAACTCGTCTCGCTTAACCTCGAGCTCCTTAATTTCATCCGTGAGACTGACAATCTTGGCCTCAACCCGGCGGCGGAGTTCCTTAGATTCCTTCACCATGGTCCTCCGGCGTTTATTAGCCCTTTCCAGATTATCTTTCCGCTCCTTTTCTATTCTTCTCCATTCTTTGCCGATTTCTGCACACTTGTTCTCGCATTTAACTCCACCCACGTTTCCGTATTCCTCACTACCATCGCAGCAAAGATCGTAGTCGCAGACACCGTCATTTACGTACATAAAAGGGACGTATGCACCGATATGGCCCTTGTTTGCACACCAAAAGCCGGGCAGAGCATTTGTGGTGTTTGTAGTACCGGAGAGAGAAGCAGGCAAAGGTTGCTCCGGGGAGAGACGATCTAGTAGAGCACATGCCGCAGTGCCAGGCTCGTCTGTGCCATCAGGACAGTCACACGAGTTGTCATTTACTCGAGAGGCAGGGATAATTATCGAAGGGTGGCCTATGCATGTGAAGGTATCTTTGGTTTCGTAGAATTTCACAACTATGAAATCAATTGGTTAGTATAATTGGACTTTCAACTCCACGCAGATTATACAGTATATAGTATACGGTATACAGTCACAACTAAAGAGGCGAAGAAATATAAGAGAACTGACATTCTGGACCAACACCACGTGGTAAGGAACCAGCTGTAACGAGCTCATTTTGAGCTATGAAGCCCAGAAGCACCAAAGCCTGAGATTGGCGCATCTTTACGAGGGTGGAAGAGGGAAGGATTTATTCATGGATGGGGAAGTCAATTGGAATTTTGAAGCTTCTCGGGAAAAGTTTATTGTTTAACACAAAAAGTTGATTAACACAAAAGTTAGCACAAAAGTTAACACGAAAGCATCTCCACCATTCCGCATTTCGGTCCCCACTACAGCTGGCAAAGCTTGGCAATCTTGCTTTAGGGTTCCCTGCTAATGTTGCGTGGGGGAGGGACCCTTGTTCGCCGTTATGTAATTAGCCACATGTCAATGTCCCAGCGCTCTGGAGTGGGTAAGTCACCTACCTAGGTAAGTACCTAGGTACCTACTCAAGTACCTTAAGTATACCAGAGATGCATCACCTAAAGGGGTTGAGAAAGCTACCTATATTTTCTCTACCAAATCCAAGACATAAAGAAGAATATATCTTATTTATAAGAAAATCTGGTAGGTATGTCAAAGGACTCATCCGTATATATCAGTTCAACTTTGTAATATCTTCTTGTTAATAAGTCAAAGCCAACTATGATCCCCTATTAAGTATGTATAACTATAGAAAATATAAGTTGTCGCTTATTTTGAAAAGAAAATTTATCAAATAGTACGGCAATATACATATATCCTATTCTTACTAGGATATGTAACCTCGCATTCGTATACTATACAATAACCCCTAGTTAAAGCCGTGTATGCTGGCCATTAAATATTTGATGAGATACCAGGTTGGATGTCTTCTAGTTTATCCATAAGTTCACCGAAAAACTTCTTTTGAACCTTTTGACCCCATTTCCCAGTGACGTGGTACGCAGGGCTTTGAAAGCGGTTAGACGGAGATGCTGCAATAAAAGAGTCTAGAACTACTTACATTTCGACATGACAGTTTGACAGATACTGACCGTTGGTCTCTTGACCAGCCAGCAAGCCATGAACTAGAACACGGCTACCTTCTTCGGTAGATCGAGCTAAGAGCTTCTCGAATATCTTAAAACCACGGCTTCCTTGGGATTCGTTTGCTAGGTTAGACTTGCAGAAGCTCGGGTTTGGCGTATTAATGATACACGCCCCCTTTCCAGAAGAACTGGTTCTTTCGGCAAACTCGCGCACGGCGTAGAGAACGAGTAACTTGCTCAGGTGGTATCGTCCAGCCATATTAGCTTTCTGGGGGTCATTCAGCCGGTCGATAATGCCGGGGCTATCAGGGTCAAGCTCAGCGAGCGGAGCAGCGTAGTGCAGCGCACTGTTTGGGATCGAATAACGACAGACGTGCCCTGTATTCTGCCCAGATTCGCGCATTTTTGGCAGGAGGAGCAAGTACAGAAAAAAGGTGCTGATGACGTTAACATTGAGGCTCTTTTCGTTGTGTTCGCTCAAGCTGAAGTTAGCGGTCATAACACCGGCATTAGCTAACACGCCATCAAGACGGGGAAGCTGAGAGGCGCGGTTCGCGAAAGACTTGATCGAATCATAGCTATCCATATCGACGGGCCATACTTCGATAGAGGACTCGGATCGACCTGTGGAATTGAGTATTTTTTCCCTCGCATCGGCGCCTTTGGCTACAGTTCGTACGGCCATGATTAATTTCCCAACCCCAAGTCGTGATAGATGAAGGCAGGCTTCGAATCCGAGGCCGGTATTAGCGCCGGTCACAATAATAATTTGATTAGAAAGCTCGGAATTTCCACTTGGAACTGGAAGCTTCACGAAAACCCTTGAAAAAATGACGGAGCCAACTCCGTATAGCGCTGAAAAGGCGGACATGGCGACTTGAGGGCTTGTTGAGGCTGTTTCTTGTTGGTAAAATGTTATAATGCTTTGATCTTGAGGAGTCAACTAGATGAGAAATACATCACATCCCAAGGCGCTATTTTATAATCCATTTTGTCTTACCCTCTCAAGGGGCTATGTCATGTCAGTAATTTCCACTTACACGGATTTTATATGTCCCTTCACCTATGGCGTCTGGTGTGTATTATTATCACTAGCTATGTCACTTACATGTTGATGTATGAAGGATTCTAATTGGGTCGGGGCTTGTACGCCTCATCTCTATCCTCCAACGGGGATAATATCTCCGCATCCTTCTCCCCCTAAGCTCCGGCCCCACTGCCATGAGGCAGAATACAGCCACACAACCCGCCGCCGTACTATATCTAGCGTGTATGATATCTCCGACCTACTACGGATTTTGCGGATTCCTTCTTAGCCGTGAGAATGGAGTCTTTACATCTAGGTATGATAAAGCTTCTCCCCATTTCTATAACTGCTGTATAGAAAAAACGAGCCTTTGGACGAATCCTATACTTCCATGGCTAGCATTGACATTGGCCGTAAAAAGGTGGAAAAGAGAAACCGGCCACCTGTTTCTTGTGAGCCATGTCGGACTAGAAAGTATGTTATATCCTTATGCCCTTAATATTACTGCGTGCCTAGAATATACTTACGTGCATCTTGCAGGCTGAAATGCAATCGGGGTTCACCATGCGACTCCTGTATAAGACGGGATAAGGCCTCACTTTGTAACTATGCGGCTAATGCCAGCCGAAGTGAGCCTAGTAATAAGAAACCACGCGACTTAAAAGATAGACTCAATACTCTAGAGAATTTAGTGTCTTCTTTACTGTCGGGCGATGCTGTCGTCCAGCCGGGACTGACTACTAGAGGGGAACTCATCGTAGCAAAGTCCGATGGTATCACATCACCAGCAAGACATTATAATAAGTCCGCAGAACACGATTCGAGTTTTACCAGCCAGAGTGCGGGAGAAGATGCTCTTACCCCTGAGACGCCCCACCTACAGGAAACTGCGGATGGTCAAGTGAACTATATCGATTCTAACCATTGGCTATCTATCTTGGACGATATAAAAGAGGTTCGAGAGCACTTATTAGCATCAAGTCAGCCTGTATCACGGAATGAGAAAGGGGTTACTACAGATCGCGTGGTATTGGACGCCAGTTTTCTGCTAAGCTCAGACCAAATTTCGAGTCTCGGCGAGATTCTAAGCTCGTTGCCATCTCAACCTATCTGCGACATGTTACTTTCTTGGTATTTCGGTTCCCGGTTCATGGTTCTAGGTAAGGCCTTGAGCCTAACATATATGAACTAGTCTACTAACTTATACGGTAACTAAGGTATCATACACCCGGATAAATTTCAAAGTGAAGTAAGCCTTTCATTCATATCATACATGTAGCTACAACTTATAAGAATATAGTACGCTTCATTCTGGGAGTCGCCATCAACAACACCGCCGCTTTGGGTAGCCCTTCTTTTCTCTGTGCTTAGCGTCTCGGTTAGTCTACGAAAGGTATCGAACGTAAGAGAGCCCGACGGGTTAATCCCCCATGTAAGTATACTACAACAGAGAGCGGTGCAGTGTCTAGTTCTTGGGCGATATGCCACTGCTAATGCACATGCACTCGAGGCATTTCTGCTTCACATCCAAAGCTGCTTTTTCAGCCGCGAATGTAATCCAGTTGATTTGTGGTTCGAAATGGGCACAACAATCCGGTTAGCATTCAGGATGGGCTATCACCGCGACCCAAGTAACCTGACCGGCATCTCCCCTTTCGATGGGGAGATGCGGCGGAGAGTTTGGGTTAATATATTTCAAATAGACGCATTGGTATCTTTCCAAATGGGCTTCCCAAGTATGATACCAACCGAGTTTTGCGACACCAAGGTTCCGAGGAATCTAGAGTACTCCGATCTCCATCTCGACATGACAGCACTACCACCATCGAGACCCCTTTCTGAGAACACTCACATCCTTTACCTTATCGTCAAAGCTAGTGTGATGGCGGTCTTCAAAAAGATCGTTGCGAATACCCAATCGATATCAGTTCCAGCTTACGACGAAACGATTGGGCTGGACGCTGAAATGAACCAAGTCTACAGCATGGTTCCAGAGCTTTTGAAGAGACGGGATGTCAACCGTTCTTTTATAGACCATCCTTGCCTTATATGGCAACGATGTACAATAGAGATCCTCTATCTAAAAGGTCTTATCATACTTCATCGACGATATATCAGTTATGAGTTAAGAAGTCCTAGATTTGAACGATCACGGTACGCATGCGTTGAAGCAGCTCTCGATATCGTTTCCCGGCAGATAGATATACATAAGGCATGTGAGCCTGGTGGACGATTATACGAGGACCGGTGGATGTTCTTTTCACTATCAGTGCATGATTTTCTTTTAGCTTCCATGGTTCTCTGTCTCGACTTGTCCGTCCGCATGAGATCTCGAAGTGGAGTCTTGACCGAAAGAAGAGATACCCAGCAGCTTGCAACTAGAGAGTACCGGGCGCTCCAGGAGTCTCAACAGATATGGGAAGTTAACAAAGCAGCCTCACCCGATGCTCAGACTGCAGCACTCGCGCTTGGCCTGATGATCAAGAAGGTTGCACAAAACGATGTTGGTCTTTCTCTCGCGGAGGAAAATATTTCGTCAGGGGTCACGGATCCCGTTGTCGATTCAGAATTGCCATACGCGGCTACTATGTCACAGATGATCGACGGATTCGAGAGTATTGATTGGGTAAGTGCCTACACGAGAATGATGCGGAAAATAACAATTAGGTTTCTAATCAAAATGATAGAGTCTGCTGGACCAATATTTGCAATTTTAAGCATGGAACATACGTCAAGCTTGTTATAGGGGTTCTATTCAGTGCCGTGGTAAGAATTCCCCAAATATTACGACTAGGTCACGGGTGAATACTACAGCGATTCAAATTAATGAAGACACTTATGTGGTAGCTCTTATAGGCAGAGTACCCCCTGTAGTCACTAGCTAACAATACATAAATTTGAACTTTTATAGACTTGGGTAACTTAGGTAGTTATTATATATCAATATAAGAATATCAGTAGCATTGGTATTTAATACCATTCTAAGTATCTTTATAACACTCCCTATTATCAGTGAACGTAGGTATATATGGTCTGTCTTTTAATCAGTCAAAACTTCTATCGTGTTTGCTAACATAATAACATGTTTCGAAGCTTTACGGATTAGCTAGGTTAGTTAACTCCCTAGGTAGTCTTTTAAGACTGAACTATGACCTGTAAAGCTCTTTAATAGCTATATGTTATACAATCACTAACAACCCGGATTATATAAAGTAGCAGTTAAAAGTCTCACATCCGTGTCTTAACGCCTAGACACCACGCAGGTGCCGAACAATAGACCCAGGAAATGCGGGGCGATTCTCCAGCGGCTAATCCAAGCTCGACTGGCCAAGACAAGAAGGATACTATGTAACCTAGGTTAGAGCAATAGTATTTTGATTTAAGGGGTAAGATAGAGAGGATCTGGCTTCCCCACATCATCCTAACTTGCTATTCCCTAATAATCATAGCCTCATGGTACATAGATAGACCCTTGACCCTTCTCTTTCCCCTGTCCCCCACAAACTGCCGTTCTAATAGCCCCCCGTCCAAATGGACCAGGCAACTTGGAAGCTAAAATCCCGAGGTCACCTTTCGGCTGTATGTACTGTTGGCGCGTCATGGCGCTTCCTTCTTTTTTCTTAAGATGACTTGTATCAGAATCCCGGCCGTCACGATCAACTGGTGGTAAGGATTAGATAGATCTGAAATGCAACACCAACTTGTATTTTTTTTCTTCTCGATTTTCCGCGATAATTCGTAGTAGAATCGTGTTTAGTGCGCGATATACATAGCTTTCGCCACGTCTTTTTCTTTCCTTAGTAAGATACTGGTTTAGTAGTAGTGATTCTTCTTAGAGAAAGGATGGCAACAATTGGTAAGACATTTGATATTTCCCATGGCTTCACATGTGCGAGGCAACTGACTGACCAACGCAGCTGCGGCGTCGATAGCTGCTACTGCGGCCGGTCTCACGTATCTCGACGGCAAATTCCATCTGCGACAGGATTGGCAGAACATCCGCGCAAAAAAGCAGGGCGCAAAACTCTTTCAGAAAGCTTGTGAGCCTACCTTCTAAATGCTACTACCTACATGTGAACACAGCTTACAAAAACCTCTTCCGCATATGTAGTCCGAGAAAAGCGTATCTCGTCCTACTATTTCTTCGAGAAGCATGCCCAGACTAAACCCAGTAAGGAGTGCATCTGGTCGCGCCAGGGCAGCTTCACTTATGCCGAGACATACTACCGCGTCAACCAATACGCTCAGTGGTTCTTACAACATGCCAATGTCAAGCCTGGTGACCTCGTCGCCTTTTTCATGGCCAACAGTCCTGAATTTGTCTTTGCTTGGATGGGTTTGCTAGCTATCGGTGCAGCTCCAGCCCTCATTAACCACAATTTAACTAGACAGGCTCTACTGCACTGTCTGGGTATCTCTGAAGCGAAACTCATACTGGCTGATGGCGCGCCTCAGCTACTGGAGCGCCTCGATGCTGTTAAGGATGAACTGGCTGCGCAAGGGGTGAGTATTGTGAACCTGGCTGATGTCAAACATGAAGTCAATGCGACAAAGGGCGAGCGGCCGTCCGATGAGCTACGTGAGAACGTCCGGCCTGACTCTCCATTTGCTCTGTTTTACACTAGCGGCACAACCGGATTACCCAAAGCTTGCATGCTGCCCGCGGCCGCCGGCTTTGGATACGGCGTCAGTATGGACTGCGGTTTCTCGTACGTTAAGGGCGACGATCAGCGCTACTATGACTGCATGCCCCTATATCACGGTACAGGAGGTATTAGTGGCATGACGCAGCTGCTAACAGGTCAGACGCTATGCATCGCGCCTAAGTTCAGCGTGTCTGGGTTTTGGGACGACATTCGAGACAGCCGAGCTACGTGGTTCGTCTACGTCGGCGAGACGCTGCGATATCTACTAGCAGCACCACCGTCACCACGCGACAAAGAACACAATGTACACTCCATCTATGGCAATGGCCTGCGTCCGGACGTCTGGAAGCCATTCCGCGACCGTTTCGGCATCGATACCATCTTCGAGTTCTTCAACTCGACCGAGGGTATCATGCCGCTAGATAACCCGGCCCGGGGTGACTTCCGCGCCCATGCCGTCGGCCACCACGGTTTCCTGCAACGATGGCGTTTCTACCACGTCTTTGTGCCGGTTGAAATCGACGTTGACACAGGAGACATTGCGCGGGATCCCAAGACGGGCTTTGCGCGACGCGTCCCTTACTCGGTCGGCGGCGAGATACTTGTTACGCAGCCGCCTACGATCACACCGGCTTTCCCAGGGTATTACCGTAACGAAGAAGCGACATCGAAGAAATACGTGCGCAATGTATTTCGTAAGGGTGACTTATACTACCGAACGGGCGATGCGCTGCGACGAGACGATGATGGGCGGTGGTTCTTCCTAGATAGGTTGGGTGATACGTTCCGTTGGAAGGGAGAGAACGTGTCCACGGCCGAAGTGTCCGAAGTACTTGGCCGATTCCCAGGTGTAAGTGAAGCGACCGTGTATGGAGTATCTCTACCGAACCACGACGGAAAGGCCGGCATGGCAGCTATCTTCATTGACCCGGCCGTCAAGACTTTTGACTATAATGGATTGCTGAAGTAAGTCTAATATTTCCTCTCCCCCTTTTCAAAAATTACGAACCTTTTCTATGTCACTTTTGTTTACCAACGTAACGCATTGAACTCTTCCTTCTCCGCCTCCCCGCTTCCGCTTCCGCTTCCACTTCCCAACAAAACGCCACCAATACTCCCGTATATCACACGTCCAATACAAATGAACAGGTAGAGTATCGACATATGCACATACCCTTCCTCCAACCTCCCTTACAAATATTGGAAGAAGTGTCACTTCGCTCCTCTTGCTGACCACAACCCTCACCGGAAACAGACACGCCCGTGCCCACCTCCCCAAGTATGCCGTACCTATCTTCGTGCGCCGCATTGCCGCACGCTCCGCTACCCACAACAACAAGCAAGATAAAGTTCCGCTCAAGCGCGCCGGCGTCGACCCAGCTCAGACTGCGCCTGACCCTGTTTTTTGGGTTCCCGACCACGCCAAGGGCGGCAGTGCCTACGTGCCCTTTACGCAGCAGGACTGGGACGCGTTGGAAGGCGGTCGGGCTAAGCTATGATGAGTCCAATGCAAATCAAGCGCCTCCTTAGATCTCATTTAGATATGACCATGTGGGACGAAATGCCTGACGAATCGGGTGGACTATGTATATAATATAAAAACTAGCGACATTGCTTTATATACGGCGATATAGATACGTGACTCAAAGTACTTGCTGTGTGATATGCATACGAAGTGCCGACTAATCCTAGCCATGTCCTGGTCAACCGTACATGCTTTATCAGCTAGTATGAGAATAGCTGCGTCGTTAGCTTGAGATTTGAAGATCCCGCATCATCACAATTACTTGCCTCTGCTGTCCCTCGTATTCTCTGAACTTTGCGAGGTACTTACTTATTTAAGGGTTGTAGCTCACCAAGATGCTAAAAATATATAAGGTACATAACCTATCTTTAAATCATGTCGACGTGGGTATAACTCATTTCGGAAATAGTAGCGTCATAAGGACGTGAATAAGTAGAGCGTGGTTTACAATTATATCCCCCTATGTGCTGACGCCAGGATCTTAAAGTTTATTTTCAATAGATGTCCATCGATCAGCGCAACGCGCGGGCTGTTGGGCTGGTACTGTCGATTCCTAACTGGGTGCGGACCGTCTCGGCCACTGCTCCGAGGTGTAACCAAAAGGTCTAGCCGTGTTAGACGGCGTTTATATGCGAGGGAAGAGGTGTCGACGTACTTACTCGGTTCCGATGTCTTCGCTCTTAGTATTGAAGGCCCCGGCGTTGATCTTTTTGACGAGCTGGGTGATATACTACTCCCTGATCTCGTAGACTTGATAGCACTATTGCCGGGCGTCCGGGACTCTTTCATAGAACGGGGAATGACCTTCTACGGCTACTAGTTAGCAGTGATATAGTATATTCTAAGTTTATGGGCCTAACGCACATCGCTGTCACCGTCTGATAGATTCCAAGGATCCTTGTTCGCCACCAACTCCGCATAGTCTGGGCGGGGTACGCTCCTGGGCGTGCGGCGTGGTTTCTCAGCCTCTAATTCCTCCTCGTCCGACTCATTGGTATCGCTGACAGTAGGATTCCGGGGTTTGCTAGACGGCGTATAATTCTTGTCGTCCTCTTTGCTCTTTCGTATATTAAGAGCATCTGCTGCTTGGATATTTTTAGATCTCGACCTTCCGGGAATGACTGGAGACATTAATAGTTGTTCCAATGAAGCTTTCAAAAAAGAAAAAGGAAAAAAAATGAACTAGCTCTCCTCTAGGTGTATGACAAGAATGCCTTTACCTACAGGTATGCGGCGATGGGCCAAGATGTTCCTTAATCCAGTACTTGCTAACCAGGCTAGAACCTTCAACTATAGGCAACGATTAGTACCTATGATAAACCCATCCCCTATATATACAAGGGAAGGTTGCTCACTTTCGCATGCGAAGTTTTCAAAAATGTATTCATTAGAGAGTTCTTCGCCGTTTTGTCCCGTTTCGCCGTGGCTTTGGAAATGCTTCAAAGCTCTGTTATATGCTAGAGGCGGGTCCGTGAAGAATCCCGTTTGGCAGTTGGGCCTGTTGCATCGTATAACAAAGAAGCCCTGACGTTCTGCATGACGGAAGATACGCTCCCCTGTTTCTAGGTTTGGGAATGCGATCTTGCGGAATATATCCGATTGAGATCTATTTAGACTCTGGTCATATATTAGCCGGCCAAGTAGCAGCTTAAAGTGACAGCGACAGCTCCAGTTCGTTCTTACCTTTCCGCCATCTACTCTCCGTCGCTTACCACTTGCGGTGCTATCACCATCTGCGCTGACCCGCTTAAGAGCTTTGCTAGTCATGGGATTTTCGGATAGAATCTGACTTTGTATTTGGTGGTCGAAATTCGGGCCTATGTTCGGCGATACGTTAATATTGGTAGGACTTGAAGAGTGACCTTTAACTGAATTAGAGGTTTCTTCGTCGTGTACTTGCGACGCCAATGGAGGTATGCTTGATAAGACATCTGCGCCAAGAACAGTGCTAAAATAATTATCGCGAACCGGTGACATAAAAGGCGTTGGGGGTCGAATAGTCAGGGTTGAAGCACTGGGAATGACGCTGAGATATTTGGGGGTAACGGGGATAAGTTCCGAGACGGTACTCTCGATAGTATCAGGATCGACTTCGAGCAATTGTAACTTCTTGCGCAGACCTAGGATTAACTTCTCCTTGTCTTGTTCATACGCCTGACGCTCCTTATCAACCTCTCTGAGGAGAGCCCTCAGCTTTGGCACGTGGCTCCGCGCCAACTCATCATCTCGCTCGCGGGTCAATTGCTGTAATTCCTTCTTGACATAAGAAGAGGCGAAATCAGAAATAGCATTGTTGAGTTTGCCGACAGGACTGCCATGATCGCCCGGCGGCGTCTCGTCAGCCATCTCAATCTGGGGATTGAATGTTCATGGAACCTCTACGGATGTATAATTGGGCATAGATAGTGTTCGTTTCAAACACTGACCATCAACTACCGATTAATACCTAGATTTTCTAGTTCTAGGGTAGGGCTTGAGTCTGAAGAGGTGGAGAGAGAAGGGGGGGAGGGAAAATCCCTGCGTCAAATTGACTTTTTTTTTTTTTTTTTTTTTTAGAAAAAAAAAAGATTGAAATAGAGTTGAAATAGATAGATAGAAGAAGGATCGAATGAATAGATGATCAAACGATTAAACGATTAAACGGAAGAATTAAAATGATCTGGACCCGTTTGGCCAGAGCATAAGAATAAGCGACACATGCAGCTCCAGCTCTGTTCTCCGCACGAAGCGCCTGTACCGTAGAACGCCGCAGAATAAACCCGCCGAACACGCAGGACCCCCAGAGATGCGCACCGGGCCGTACCCCGAATAATTCTGGGCTTGATACCGCAGTGTGACGGGAAAGTTGTGGCCAATCACAAGTTACGATTACTCACAAGTATGTTGGTGCCGTAACCCGAATGGAAACGGATCAATCGAGAAATTTCGGAGATAAAATGAGACGGAGAAGTAAAATGTCTGGAAGGAGAGAAAAAAAAAGAGGAGACGTTTTAAGACATCGGATATAATGAGGAAAGAAGATGAGAGAAATTACCTAAACATTAACCTAGTAAAAAAAAAAATTCAAACATGTGGAAGTACCAAGGAATTTTTAGATGTTACACCATACTATCAACGTATTTTATGAGGTACCTACTACATATTAGGGGAGGAAAGTGCGAACGACCTCCAAAAATAGGTTGGGGTTTAGGTAAAACAAACCAGATCTCGAGCACGCCGCTTTTAGCCGGTTTTTATGTTACACAAACACCTAATATATAAGACATCTTACCTAACCTAACCTATAAAACAGGTACATGTATCTCTAATATAAATCTCGGTTTCTTGCACGGGCACGTTCTAAACGGATAGCCAAATTCTCTTATTATTATTAATACAAATGACTATCGGTATCAATTATACCAACCACACCACACTTTAAGCAGCCCACAAGTTGCGACCCGCGCAGCTACTATAATTCGTATTATATATCTATTATGTATTTTTTTATATTTATTATATAGTTATTATATATCTATTATATATCTATTATATATCTATTATATATCTATTATATATCTATTATATATCTATTATATATCTATTATATATCTATTATATCAGATGCTATTGGATTGACTATGTATTACGTAATAATATGAAAGGGAATGCAAATAACGATCGTGTTCTGATTGGTTGTTCTAAGGTAAGAGAGGAGGGGTTCCCCCGAGTGGGGAAAGATATCTATTGTACAAATGCGTGGGCTGTGCGTGGGCGGTGTGTATGGGCATAACCCTGGTCATGTGACGAGATCACGTGACCGTTATCCCAACAGATGCAATGTTGCATCCTAGGTTCTAAAGACTATATGGCGTCAGAAGAAGAACTGTTTCCCCTCCAGTCAACCACAGTCTCTACCGTGATAACTCCGAGCGGGACTTCATCGACCCCATCATCCCCAGTCTTTCTCTCCACGGCACGATATTCGGCGGCATACCCTTGAGACCAAGGACCAAATGTTTCTCGATTAACTTCCCTGCTATGTCCGTGGCTATTTACTTCAACACTATCGAAATCGTCTTCGATATTCCTAAATGGTCTTATAGAACTGCGCGATATTCTAAAGCCCTGGCTTTTGTTACCCTTTCCCGTTTTGCCCCTATGCATCGATGAGCCGCCTATGCTCCGAAGTGCACGTATGGCAACTGGAATTCTATCCCTCTCGACATTACCGTAGTCACGATCTAGGGATCTGCGAATCCACGTGAAAGGATGCATTCTAAGCGAGCCATTAAATAGCGGTCCAAGCATAGGGAGGCAGCCGCAAATAATCGCCAGGTCGGGCTCTAAGGCGGTCCATAAGGTTGGATTGGCATATGCCACTGTGCCTATTAGCTCCACTCAAAATGCGAATATTGAGAGACATGGTTATTACAAGTAAACTCTGCAGTTGTTCCCTGGGCCAGCCGGATCTGGTATCTCAATCGGATCCCACTTGCAGCAACTACACCTGTTCCAAGTAAGAAAATGGCAGACAATGCGGCACGTTGGCCACGCGTGAGGTGTAAGTTCATGATCTCGTAGGTAGGTAGGCATAAAATTGCGACGTTCGTGACAATATTAGGAATCATAATCCCCGCAAAGAATGCGGAAGTTCCAATACAATGGCCGATTATGTCAGGGTCGAATATCTTCTTGACAGGAGTGCACTGAAAGGTTTCGACAGGAACATAAGCAGCCCACCATACTATAGTAATAGAGCCCAAGACAAGATGCCCTATGTTCATTAGCCGTACCGGGAAGATATTCCTGTACATCGTCAGGATGCTGAGCTTGGTAGTTAGGATAGTCGTCGCATAGATCCATTGGCTAGCGAAAATCATGTTAGGCAAAGTAGTTAGCCCAATTAAACATATATCTTCAGAATCTCAGTGTAATACAAGCAGGCTCACCTTAGAGGCTATATTTCCTTGAGGTTCGTCCCAGCTAATTGATCTTCTCACCCCGCCAAGCTTGACGAGCAGAACAACATGAGCATACTGCGCCCACGAAAGTACCTAGAACAATATTCGAAACTCAGTTTCATCGGCATCTTACTTAAGAAGAGGTACACAGACTGGAGAGATATATTAATTATTTAGCGAGACGAGCCCAATGACTTACAAGAGAAACTACACTTAGCCAGTCATCAATCCCGATATTAGAAGTACGGCGTATTCTCATAACAATACGAAGACCAACGGTAAAGGTTACAATCACTGAGATCGGGGTCAATATGCGAAGTAGATATGGACCACGATCTACTTTGAGCGACGAAGGTGAATCTGAACCTGATGACATATCGGCCAGTCTCCTAGCCTAGAGATTCTGCTAAGAAATGGATAGGGGTAGAATAGCTATCATTTCAAGGTAACTAGCGGAAAAGGAGAACTTAAATATTCGGAATCTTAGGGATGTATCTTAGCCATAGATGCAGGTTAACATTCCATAGAGTACCTAACGTTCCCGAACGCCCACGCCGAGTTACACGGGGCAGCATCTCATCTATCTATAAATTTAAGGTGTAGGCAATATCATGTGTCGCCCTCGCCGTTTTCACATATGGCTGTATTTTTAGGAGGCTACGCTACTCTTGATTAGCTTCCTTCTAACACAAGTACGGGAGATCGACAAGAAAAAAAAACCAAGTGTGTACCTAATGTAGGTAGGTATGCCAGCAAGTAACCGCCTGTGTAACCACACTCGGCTGCGGATGAGAGACAGCTTGACCGCCACATCGTTCGATATAAAAGTTGTAATTGTAGATTGCGCGAATATAGCTCTAGAAATCTTGGCGTGGCAGCGAGTTCGGTAGCTTGCGCCATGTCTTAAATATTGCGCCCAGCTCGTGTTTGCTTCGGATCCGAGACACCAGTGACTGTTCGCTTTCGCATCGGGCTCGGACAATTAAAGGGGGTGGTGATATGTGGTGCAGGGCGCGGCTTCAAAATGACCAGCACGTAACCCAATGTATAAAAAATATCAAGAACGGGATCATGCATGAATATAGACCATCATGTAGGTCGCTAAGAAATTGTCTCTACTTATAGATATAGGTGTATTCCTGTACTGGCGGGCGCGAGGATACGATAGCTACCGCTAATACCATTAGGATGGCGCTCGAAATATTTACTGCTGCAACTACCTCGTCTTGATCTTCCGATACCGCACCACCTCCTTGCCGTCGTCCTCGACAATTCTATGAGCTTCGATCCTATATCCACCGATCGCCGGCCAGATCTTAGACCAACATGTCCAGTATATTCCACCCAGAAGCAAAACGCCAACTCCGACGACAGGGAATACAAAATAGGGGTAGCCGTCAGCATTCCAGTCTCCAGACGGCGGGACGAAGGGGACAATAGCGAGAAAGATGTTGGCCAAGAGATAGATGACGCTGATCGGTAAATAAGTATTCCAAGGCGATGTCCAATTCTCCGACTTGTTGTAATGGAGATAGATGAGGCCGGCAGTGACAAAGCCGTTAATCCAAGCACCAGGGTAGGTATATAAGTTGACGACAAAGTTGTAGGCGGGGCCTGCGGGAGGAGCGACGAGAATGATCACTGTGACAAGCCAATGAAGAAAAAGCTAGATATATATCAAGTTAGTCGTATAATTCATGGGAAATTTTGAAGAAAAGCACTCACAGCAGCAGCTGGCGCATCAAACGGCTTGATAGACGCCCAGAACTTTCCATACGGTAGAAGCGCCTCTTTTCCAAATTCCTGGTTGAGTCGAGCGTGGGCAAAACTCACGGCCAGCACGTTACCCAGGTTGCTCAGTGCGACAAAAGCAGGGAGAGCCCGTGCGGCAGCACTATCACCGAAAACGTTGCGAAAGAATAGGCCAGCCACTAACACCTCAGAAGTAGCGAGGTCGTCCTTCGTTATCGCTGCGAAGTAGGCCACGTTGGCCAGAACATACAGGATAGTGACACCGCCGATGGCGATGGGCGCTGCAATCGCGAGGGTCTTGCGCGGATTCTTCAGCTCTCCAAGCACGTAGTTGGCGTTCTCCCAACCCTTGTAACTGTAGATAATCTGCAATAGTGCTGTCGCGTATCCATATGCGCCCTGGCCACCGTAATGCTCCGTTACCTCGATGGCGAACGCGTTCTTGAAGTTACCGGGCGGCGGGATGAGAAGTCGACCGGAGATGGCGGCGAAGCCTGAAAATACGATGAAGACCACGATGACCACCTTGAATATTCCCAAGAGGTTCACAAGCCTTAACCCCCATTTAGGAAAAATCGAATGGAGCGCGACGGCGAACGTAATACACGCGATCGCGATGCCACGGGCCGTCCAACCATCTCCTTCTGTGCTTCCGGCGGCAGCTAAGACATACCGGCCGAATGCGAGGGAGTTTCCGGACGAAAATCCTAAAAGGATCATCTGTGATGCTAAAACACATGAAGCCAGGTAGCGCGGGTGGCGGTAGACACGTTCGAGATAATTCTTCTCGCCGCCGGAGAGCGGAATAGCTAAACCGAATTCAAGGAATACGCTCAGACCGCAGAATGTCAATATACCACCAACAACCCATACTATTAATGATATACCAACCGACCCAGTTGCTGCGAAGATGGCTGAGGGGGTGGAGAAAACTTGGAATAACTGGTCAGTCTATTCGCAACGCTTATGAAGTTGTTGGATTAATCACTTCACTTACTTCCTGTTCCGATCATCTTATTCAAAATCAGAAACACCGCTCCGGTAACACCAATCTTCCGTGAGTCGGAATAAGCGAACTGTTGAATTCCATCGTTAGTCGAGGAGGCATACTCCTCGTCCGTAGGAGCATTCAGCTCCCGCGTGTCAAGGTCTGAACCTTTCCCGGCCTCTGTTTCTGATGGCATCTCGGCTTTGATTCTTAGTATGACAGTCGCAAAAGAACGGAACTGAGAAAATGGCACGCGTTCCACAAGAACCTAACAGGAATACGTCTCCTTTTTAACTCGGGGCCGGTCGTATGTTGCACATGTTGTCAAGGTTAAGACAGCACAAGACCAGACAAGACAAGACAATACAGCAAGACAATTCAAGCAAGCGGCACAGACTATTAGGTTACGTTCTAGAGCCTCTTGGGTTCTGGGAGGATCCAGGACCAAGAGATGAGCATTTGGCGTATAAGTAAATACGCAGGGGCAGCTGAGAATCCGTGAGATTCATGAGGTTCTTATGGATGCTTGGCAGATCGCACGCCATCGCACGCAAACGAAACCTTGTGATCTTCGGGGTCCCAAGCAACAGTTTTTATTAGATTTCCCGTCACCTCGGCGCATGGCAATGTAACATTGCTTTCGAGCTCAACCTTAAACCACAGGAAACCAACATTTCGAAAACCTACTAACCAATCACACAACCAAACCTTTACGATCAACATGGAAGGTGGTTTACTTCCAAGAGTCAATGCATGCCGAGACATCTTCTTGACGTAATTCGGTCTATCCGATCTCATCATCTATTCCAACTAACAGCTGAAAAGAGTCACCGTCTGTTTTCTCTTAGCTTACCATGACAGATCACGCGCGAGCCTGTCGCCTGCAGTCGACTTGCGGCCCGGTCCTATTCCTGGTCTCTTCTATGCAAAAGTTCTTTTCAGCCCCATGCTACTGGCCGGGCCGACTGACGGGTACTCGACTCGACCTCGATGTCTAATAAGAGTCTTTAAGTTGAATATGCCTGGCCATAAAAAGGAAAGTTACCTGCATCTAATACGAGCTCACGTTCGAATTCGCTTCCTTGCTTACATGTAATGGAAATCGGCAACTGGCGCTATTCGTCGTCAAACTCTTCAATCAGAGTGTTTTCCACGGCCTCAGAAATGTAGGTGTAGCATATATATCTGTGGCAAATGATATATCGTAGGAGACCAAAGAAAAGCAACAGAGGCCATATCCCCAATTAACGAACCTGTCATCATGGTTACCCCCCCTCCGCATTCTATTCTTATCCAGCACAGCTACGGAATTCCTATTTTTCGATCTACTAGTTTACTAACCAGTTCAAGCAGTATTCGGCATGATCACAGACCCTTATTGAGCTCGTCATCCCATCGTCGTTGGCTACACCTTCATCCAACTAGATCGTCAAGTTTATCTATCCCCAATAAAATAATTGCCTCGTGATTATCAGATAAACCGACTGCAAACTTTATACCACCAAATTCGCCTATCTGCTCTTCGCTTATATCATCTGGAAGAATGAAGTACATCGGTGCCGGCGGTGCTAATCTTCTAGGTACGGAATCTTCGCAGTCTATAACCACGGGATCGAATCTACAGTATCGACATTCTAAACGCGGCTCGGCGTCAGAGGTGCTATGGGGCTTAGATATGTCGATGTCCTCTTGCTTATTTCCCCGAAGCGTGTCGAATGCATGCTTTATCCGGCCTTCTAGTTGTGTCTTGTAAACTGGCCAGGGAAGATGAAGTCGGAGTTGCTCTCGACGAGTATCGAGTGTGTTAGGTGTCCCATCGGCCTTACTGTTCCGTGAAGGACTGCTCTGTCTGCTTGCTGATACCCCGGGCTGATCTTTTAAACTCTTCTCTCGAGCTCGTCTTGAAGGCTGGACTCGCGTTGGTGCCGTGGGCCACTTGCTGGCCTTCTTAGTTTTCAGTGTGTTCGTTTCAACTTGAAGCTTGAAGCATTCGTTTTCCCATAAGTGATATAAAGAACACTCTTTTAAAAAATGGAGTTTGCAGTATGCTTGATACAGAGGCGGAGGCCAAAACCACGACGGATCCCGCATCCAGTCATTAGCTAGTGAGCCTACTCTTGCACTACTATCTGGCTCGATCGTTACAACTTTACGGCTGCGTATATCTTCGACGTCGCCAATGTCAATTCGCGTCATAGACATTACTTTGTTGAATGTTTTATGATTAAATAATAAACTAATAACGTGTGAACCGGATTATGAAATAGCCTTATTGCGAATTAGTGGCAAAGCTCTTGAAAACCTCAACTAACAAGTCCCAATGGAAAAGTTGAGCTTACTTTAAATTTAAATTTCTTTGTTATACATTGTTTAGAGTAAATAATGTGTTGTTACTATTACTGGTAGATCATGAAACACAATGGGTGATATTTCCGGAAGCATCTTTGAAAAGTTTGTCTCAGCTTATAACAAAGACCAATTACAGCAGATTTCGTGTCTCTTCGAAGCACAATCATGGTTTGCTCCTAAGATGATACATCATATAGTATTGAATATGATATTATCATCTAGTTTAAGTCAAACCATCTCATCAGCTTGAGTCTTAGAGTGAAATACAGCACCTACAGTCTTAACATCACTATAACCACAAACCCATATAGTGCACGTGTCTCGCGGTGTTATAGATTCTTCTAGGTTAGGTTATATCCCTAAGAGTAATATGTTGAAAAGGGGCTCAACATATTACTCTTCGGGATATCACATCTTGTTCATTGTACTACCTGACCCCTATTTTCCTTCTACCGTTGTCTAGGATGATCTAATAAATAGGCTTCCCACTAGCATCGGTGACTGGCATGCCACCGGGAAGCTCCGTGAGCCCTAATATTCTTCTGTTAGCAACGAACTTTTCTTACCAGTTGAAATACTTACACCCGTCAATATCTTCATCTACTACTGGCTTTACTGAACATTTATTCCCCTCTTTGATCTCTTGGTATTGCAGCTCCGGGCATTTGAATCCATTGCAGTTCGTATCCATCGCGATTTGCAGCGCGTTACCCTTCCAACCGAACATGTAATCACCATGATTGCCGAAGCCCGTGGCATCGCCGTAACTCCATACGAACGGCTGCGAGCCGTCCTCAGGCCACTCGGACTTGTCGTTAAAAGGAGTCGTGTCCCAAACGATTTCGTAAAAGAGTTGGGGGATCTTGACGGGGTGCGTCGAGGGACACGGACCCCCTTCTTCGAATGTACCACTTTCAGGATACGAAACGTGGCTGGCGTGATCGGGAGAGTCTAAGTTGACGCCATCCCAGCAACTAGGTAACTCATCAGTTAACTCACCATCCAAAGTAGCGATCTTTCACTTACGTCGGAAACCGTAGGTTTGCCATGATACCCGCAGGGCACGGCTCTTTTGGCATGCCATGAGTCTCATTTGTCCTCGTCATAGGATCTTGAAGGCAGGTGCTGTAAAAGCAATGTAAGCGTTTTTTCATAAGATCTCGTAGTGAACGTGGGTTGATTTGCATGTGTTAAGACTAAACATGTGTGTAAAAGACTTACTACGTGAGCTGACGGTATTTCATCGCCTCTTCTTCGGTGCGTATCGCAGGGTTACCAGTAATCATCCGGAATCCCTTATAAAAATAAGCCACGATATAGACACCAAGTATAAGGCCAGTTGGTATAACTTACAGGTTTGAATGCCGTAACAGTTGTGTTCTGGTAACTTGGTATGTAGTAGATCGTCATACCGCCACCGTTCGACTCTTCAAAGTAAACATTGCCCTTTTGCGGAACACGCTTATACGTCCCATTTCGTGCGCGGAAAAACATAACGGCAGTCCAATAATTGGAAAAGTCCTCGGCAAAGGTGCAGGTCGTGCAAGTAGCTGTGCTGGGGATATCCATAGTCTTTGGATCCATCGACGGGTTGAAGGCATTCTACAGATTTCAATTGGTCAGATTGGGCTCCTATAACTTAAGTTATATCAAGTATGCGTACGTACTCCACCGATAACCTGATGAAGATGTGGAGATCCGACAACGCCGGGGTTGACTAAGGGGTCGAGTCGTTCAACGACGAGTTGGGAACACGAAAAGCGAAGTAGAGCAGAGGCACCTGGCAAAATAGTGCCAGCGCCCACAAGCATGGAACTCCAGTGCGGTAGCATCTTGAACTGCTGAAGTATAGGTAGAGACTCCCTCGGGTGAGGACCAAAGTTGAATATGATTATTTTTTGACTATAATTGGTTGCCAGTTACTGGTAGATATATAGAGATCAAGTAAGCTTTGAGTGAGCTTTGGGAGCAAGGAGGTATATATTGGAAATCTGTTCTATCAATAGTAGAGTTCCACCGTCCTGAAGTGCCGCTCTGAAGTCACCGTTTAATATATCATTATTCTAACCTAGCCATATTGCCGGCCGGCCGGATGTTCTGCCCACCAATCAACATCGTCCAGTTTCGCGTACGATAGTACCAAGTCCAAATTTACATGATAAGGTCGCTATAGAACAATCACACGCACCGACTGGATGGATTTGAACGATATGGTTGTCTAGGCTATGCCTGGTGACGAATAGCTGGTCCACGGGAATGGATCTGATGTTGGTTTTCTCTGTATATTTGCTCTACGTATTTCAAACCTCTCGCTATTATATGGGAACCTCACTCAAAGTCTTGCCTATCCTTTACGCCAAAGAGTTCCACTATCCTTTTTTTTCGGTTAGAATTACTGCTCAAGCTATCATACTAATTGAATAACCGTAGGCTTCTGTTCGTTTAATCTAGGCGGAACCCTATTTATCCTACCTAACCTCCGATATATAGACTCCGCCTCTTCAACAAGACGAAGGACGAGTCCTGGGCCCTTTGTACCACAAAGAATATAAACATCCATTGGGCTTTCAGCTCCACATGTTAATTCCGAGGTTACGTCGACATACCAATCCTCCTCTCGAGTTTCTGCGACTTGAACGAACCGCCGAGGGTCGAGTATGCCGAGTTTTCCCGTTATATAATCGGATGGAACCCAGGCACGAGCCTGGTATAATAACCCTCGAATAGTTATATTTTTAGCACAGACCTCTGCAAGAGGCCTGGACACTTCTGGAATATACGAGATATGAAGTATTTCGATACCCTCAACGGCTGCTTTAGACGCGTCAAATGACCCGGACACCGATATCCATGACCACGATGGAACCTCTTTATCGGTATTTCGTTTAGCAATGACCTTATGGCTCTGGACAAACAACCAATTGACTCCCCAAAATAGGTAGGAAAGTAAACTTGTCTCCCATAAACCATTTACATACCGACCAAGACCCCTTTCGTAGAAGAGCTGTGCTATTCCGGCCAAAGCAGGCAATCTGTCCGTATCGTATGTTACATCCTTTAGTAGATACGCTTCTATTATATTTCCCCACAGCAGGCGTAATTCCTTTGACGAGCTTTTGAGAAGCTGGGAGTCAAACCTAGCCTTTAGGTCACTGGAGGAGACAATCTCGCGTATGTTCTCGTTATACGTCCCGCAGTTACACGACCGCTTAGATAGGCATACCCAAAGTATCTCCCACTGCGTAAACGATAATACGCGTGGGGATAGGAGATACTCTACTCTCATTGTTACTCATGATATTTTCTAATAAAAAGATTTATGCAATTAACCTACCTTGGAAACACCAAGATCGTTCGAGTAGGGGCGCCCTCCTTGATGGATCTAGGCCGTAAGGGGTGCTGAAAAAGTACGGTGTATGCTCCAACGTTGGACGCACATTCACAATAACGGGCTGTCCTGCTTCAGTGCAGCGCTTAGCGGTATGTCGAGCATCCAGTATATCGTGCCGATAGAATAAGCCACCATTACTATCAGCTGATGCCGTTGCCGCGATAGTCACATACGAATTGCCGTACACGTCTGCCATGCGCGATGCTTCATTCTTCCAGTCTTCAAGACTGTCCTGTATAATACAAAGGGAATCGATCCAAAGATAACGGCATTGGAGCTTTCGAGTAACGAATATTGCATCCTGGAAAGTTCTCGGTAACGACTCGACTGATATTCCGTCTTTCTTCTCGTTCAGTGTCTCGGTCGTTGTTATGGAGGAGACAGCCCCTCCCCAACAATGGCTCAGAGCTATGTAAGGGCCTTTATCGGTATCAATTGGCTCGTATACAAAGACAAAATCGGGATCCCGTAAGACATCTAGTACTCTAGTGGGAAGATAGGTGTTCAGGCGACTCCTACAGATATCATGCTTTTCGTTGCAATAGTCAATCCACCCTTTCATTTGATCAAGGTATTTCTCGGATGCAGTATTTGGTTCAAGATCGCTGGCCGGTTTGAAAATACCAGATAGCGGATCGTGTGCTATCATTGTTTAGCCAATATATACTTTACTAAGTCCACTTGATACGTTGCCCGATATCCAGGCAGCTGAATATACATACCGTCCTTAGTATAGTAATGAAGGCCTACCCATTTTTCGCTTTCGGGTAATTTATACTGAAGGCGGAATAGGTCTTCTTCCTGATGTAATACCATCCAATGAATTGTTTCCAGGCTCGCCAGGCAGAACGCCTGGAGGCCTTCCCAAAGGATCGAGCATAGCTGACAGGTGGGCGCTGAACTCTCCAGCTCATGACCCCTGCCACCGGTTATGAATCCCCCAGAAAGTCCCGGTAATGGCTCTAGGTTGCGGCATGTAGTACATGAATCCATTTTCGACGCGTCGTAGTTGATGTTTTATGATCGTATGGATGGGTTCAGCTAGAAATAATTATTGATTCCTATCAGCGCCGCAGTGTGAAACCCGAGGCATCCAGGTTGTGTAGCCCCCAAGAGGCCCGCATCGCGTAGTATTCCCGGTAGGGAAAGTTATTGCCGATTTATTGACCTGTAATATTTTACCTTGACCATGATACTTTTTGTATCAGATCACCAGCTCATCCGATATCTACTTGGCCAATACTATGATGACATTTATCCGTCTAAAGAAATTTACCCGAGGTCGTTAGGTATACAAATAAACTTAATAAGAGATGTTAATACTACTAATAGTTAATAGAAGTCTAATGAATTTTCCTTGTTTTTAGCTAGGTTACTTTCTTCAATAGACGTTCAATGAGAATCAAAAACCACCTACCCCTGAAGAGAAATCAGCGCAACCAATCAAACAAAACAGAAACCGAAATGTTGAATCCTATCCGCGAGAGTCTACAATATTATATTTATATTAACTTCCACTCGATTACTGGATTGTCGCATATTCTAACCTCGATTTTTAAACTATTAAAATGTGGGTGAATATTCTAACTCCCTTAAAGAACAAACTCAAGGAACGATCATAAAACGGTATAAGATCATAATAATTTGTGACCATTTAATCCTTACAACCCAGCCTATATACCCAGGTAGACCTAAATCTAGACACTTGCGCCTGTGATCTGCAACTGGTAGTCCAAGCCCCGACTCACATCGCTACTGAGTGCGAAAGGATCATAGAGATAAAGCGTGTTCGGCGTGTTCGCAATCACGAAAGTAGCCTCCTCCCCGCTGGCCAAATTTGCTTGCACCTTGTTGTCTACTACGCTGATGTACCTAACAGCTTTATTGGAACCTCTTACCGCCAGAGTGGCTGTATATGGTGCCGTAGCAGTCACAGTGATGCTGATCGATGATCCAGTCGCCTTCAAGGGGATGATGTTAGAGCCCATATAACGCGGCTGCCGAGCTGCTTTAACTCGATATCTCCCGTTGCCCTGGGAGTCCAAATTCGCGTAATTGAACTCTTTCCTCTGCCTCTCGAATAGAGCCTTAGCCTTTTCGTGTCCGATATCGACATACGCCATTCTGGCCCAGTAGCGACCGACAATTGTCTGAATCTTAATAGGCGATGCGAGCTGGTCCAAAACGTGCAGAGGGGTCTCATTGCTGTTCCTCTTGTATTTTCTCCATACATTCGGGAAATTCGCCATCCCCAGGCCCGCATAGTTGTCTGGGTTGTTCGTAACGTAAGTTAGGAATGGCCATGATTCGTAATAGTTCCCGGTGTTGCTTGACCCATCCACGATTACTTGGAAAGAATCGCTTATAACTTTCTGAAGATTCATGATAGTGTCGCCACTCGGTTGACTATAGCGCGCCCTTGAGTCCGCACAGACCGGGGAGGTTATAAACGTGTCGGCGACGAAGTTAGCGACCGGCTCCCACCATGCTCCAGTCCGACCCTGGTCAACCCAGTATCTCTCAGCATATGTGAGACCATGCCCGAACTCGTGAACTGTAACCGAAGGCGTATTCATCCATTCCGTGACGACATTTAGGAAGCTTAGGCCAGTGGCACTGTCCGTCCCAGTATTGGCAGCAGTATTAGGTCCTAAATCATTAACGTTGTAGACATTCATCTTGTACCAGGGGCCATTATCATTGTCTTGATTGAATGAGAGACCCGGCGACCTCCATCCTTGGCTAGTTACGAAACAGTCGTAGGCTGACTCGAGAGTCTGGAGTACAGAGTTCGCAATAGAGTCGCTTGCTGCATCATAGACGCGAAAATGCGGCGAGTCCTTGTATTTGCTTCCTCCGGGGCCGACCTTTGTGTTCGGTGTGAATTCAGCCGGAGGTGCAGCTTGCGCCCGCGTAGGAACAGCAATCGCCCCAGCAGCCCACCACAGGGGGAAAATGGTCAAGGTGAATCCTCTCATTGCTCTGAATATATAAGACCGTCTTAAACGCGATGCATGAGTAAGGCTTAAATGACTGGGAAAATTCCTAGAGCGACGATCATCGCCTTTATAGCCGGAAGCTCAGCTCATTATGGACTCTGGTAACGGAGTTGAGATGTAGTCTTTCCGAAATTGGATGCTTTTTTTTTATCACATTAAGCGGATAGCCTAAAATGGGTTGCAACCAAAGCAGACGACTTATCATATGGTGCTAGCGCACCTATCAGACAGACTCAGTTTGAATCAATAGAGCTCCTTTCATTGTAGTCGAGAACGAAGGTAATATATAGACCCTCTTATATGGTAGTAAAAGCAACGTCTTGGAACGTTGGTGGCTACGTGGGGAAGTGGGATATGTTATACGAGCGAACAGCCACCGTAAGTTCATAACTTCTCTTCATGTTTAGTTATGTCGAGATATATACCAGAGTATCATCTCTGTCACTACATACTACTGCTACTACTTGAAAGCTAATATAAGTGTTCTTCGCTATTCGGAAAAGATACTCAAATACAGGAGCTTGTTCGTTCCCACATATGCAATGATACGCATAGGGTTAGGACAGAAAATGCCAAGAGAGGTCGAGATCTACAGTTTTAGGCTAGGACTGATGGCAACCTGGTGGTCCCTTTTAATCTCTGGTCAGCGTTGTACGAATTGGACTCTACAAGACTCGAATCAGCTATAAGTATTTGCAGCATACTAAGTTGAGAATGCGATTGCTCAATACATCTTCTATTACCCTGGAAGAATTCCAGGGCTCGCCCCCTGAGTATGCGATATTATCCCATACTTGGCTAGACGGCGAAGTAACGCTACAGGACCTCACTCTGGACAAAGACCACACTAAGGCTGGCTGGGATAAGATTCTGAATTGCTGTCGAAAGTGCTTAAAGGAAGGATGGAAATATGTTTGGATCGATACTTGCTGCATCGACAAAACTAGCAGCACCGAGTTATCGGAAGCCATCAACTCCATGTTCGCGTGGTACCAACGCGCGGCCGTCTGCTATGCCTTCTTGAGTGATGTCTGTAGAGTCCGTAAAGGCAACGAACTAGGAACACTTGCGAGGTCACGTTGGTTCACGCGAGGTTGGACGTTGCAGGAGCTTCTAGCGCCCTTGTACCTCGTATTTCTAGACAGCGGCTGGCAGGAAATAGGCTCGCGGTCGTTCCTTTCCTCGACAATTGAGACGATCACGGGCATCTCTGCGTATCAGATGGCCCATTTTAGAGGTTGTAGTATTGCTACTAAGATGTCCTGGGCCGCAGGCCGGCAGACCACTCGTATCGAAGACGAAGCTTACTGCCTACTCGGCTTGTTTGGCATAAATATGCCTTTACTCTACGGCGAAGAGGAAAAGGCGTTTATCCGTCTGCAGCAGGAGATTTTGAGAGTCTCAGATGACGAAACGCTTTTTGCGTGGCGAGGTAAGTCAGCGCGTCAAAGAGAAGTATCCCTTAGCCGGGTAACTTAACAGAAAAGGTTCCCTTAGAAACAACAATATCCCCGAACTACCAAGATGTTCTCTGCGGAATGCTTGCTAGATCCCCCATTTGTTTTTCTAGATCTGCTCACTATGAGCCGTTTATCATAGACGACCAGCGGGCCGAGTATGCGATGACTAACAAAGGACTTGGTATGACTATTGACGTATGGAGGTATATTGGGCCGGAGGCTGAAAAGGGTGCGCGGCCTAAACGCTATCTCGCACCGTTAAACTGCCGGTCCACGATAGATAATAAAGCCGCGGCAGTAATCTTGCTACACGAAGGAGAGGAATCCTACGTTCGTACAGACCCTCACGAACTAGCCCCTTTTCACGACGAGGTTTCGAAGACTGATCTCTGGGAGTTAATTCCCAGGAAAAGGCTATATGTAAGGCAGATCGAAGAGCATTCCGGTACCCCTAAGGACCTATTACAATCGATATATCACTTCACCTTTCGTGCCACGTATGCCATACGCTTACGGAAGTTCTACGAGTATCCAAGTGGATCATACATCACCTCTAGGATATTAGACTATGAAGATATATATCGCGACTCTAATCATCTAACGGTAGCCAAGCGCAGTTTTCAAATGCTTATACTCGTGGTTATTGCGGATATGGAGATGGTTCTATGCGTTTCTACGTTTAATAACTTCTTCGCGTTATCGATGTACGTGAAAAGCGACTTTCCGAAGATGACAGACATATTAGACGAAGCAGAGGCAAATTTGAAGCAAGCTACAGATACTGTACACTTGGAGTTTCCAGAACAGAATTTGGTGGTTAAGGCAAGAATACGGCCTAAGCCAACATTAGACGATGAGGCGGAAATTATTGAAAAGTCTGTCCAACTCGACATAGATTGCCAAACTTACGATTATTTTGACCCCTTTGACGAATGGGATTTATTACCTGAACACTTGAACCCCGAGTGGCGTCCAGTGCTGCAACATCAAGAGTCAAGGCGCAGATATCCGCCGTCGCCGTCGTCTCTACCATATCAAGAACCACCTACAGAGAGGGGGTATCTTCCGGAAACGCTATAGACGACAGGAAACAGCGACAAGTTCGTTCCGCAAAAGAAAGTATTTCGCACGCAAATAAACAGGTGTGCATCCAGATACTAACGGGTGAGTACTTATTATTTATTACGGTTATCTATAGAAGGCAGCCTATTTGCTAACTGGAGCGCAGGCCAAGATATTACACTGATTTTATAATACTAGGTTAAGTGTATGATTTCTAGTAAGACCAGGCCTATAATCCCGACTAGACGATCAAGACTCGACTCGGCGGTATACTGTACGGCAATCTACTTACGATGACCACTTACTTCGTAAATGGTATCACGGGTTTTCCGCATCAAGCTTCTCCCAGTATGCGTCAATAAGCTAAGGAGGAATATTAATGACACGCTCCCATGTCTCTTTATCTTCTCCCCAGTCTCCTTCCCAGCGAACCTTGTACCATTGTACGGCGCGACGTGCGGCGTGGGGAGGATCATGGCCTACTAAGGCGTCAACATTGGGCACGTCGTCTCCTCCGTCCGGCTCAATGTTATCTCCAACACTGTTGGGGATAGGGCTGATGCTCATATTTTCCTCTAGCATAGGGGTTGTCAGGGGAGATAAAGGTGTAGTAGCAGAGTGTATAGGTGAATAGGGCGAGAGGAGAGTGTCCATGGGGCGAATATCCGTAGGGAGTGTAGGTCCAGGAAGCGTAGATATAAAGGGAGTGGGTGTAGATGGAGGAGTAGGAAGAGTATCCATAGGGATATTATTTAGAAGGGATTCCGGTTCTTGCTTAAGAGATGCTACGTGTGGAGGGAACGTAGGATAAATATATGGCATGCCAGGATTGTAGATCATCTCAGGTGGATGCTGTTCCGGTTGCAAAACACCATTTAAATTCGGGACCGTAGAGAACATCGACTCCGGATTCGATTTGACCCCGCTTGGTCCTGTAATCCACGGAACAGTATATGGATCATCACGTAACGGGACGATTCCGGCTCGAAACTTGTCCCACAGCTGTATGTAATGTGGCCAAGGAACCGGACTGGTATCTAAAAACCGCCCGCTCTCCGCGACTCGCAGACACAAGACCCTCGATAGCCGTTCGTTGAGCCTCGGGTCTGCTTCGCAGCCGGGACGTGGTGGGAGCGCTCCGGGTCCCGAATTCAGATCCCAGAGTATAGCGAACTGACCAAGGCACTCCGTTGCCATAGTAGCAATTTCGACTAGTCGCGTACGCAACCACCCGGCATTTGCCAGCCCGGCAGCGTACGAGGATCCTTCTACAATAATGGGCGAATTTCCCAGATGGTGATTAGAGAACCACAGCTCGACGCCAGATTTGAAAAACCACCCCGCAAGAAATAGATTAGTCGGATTATATCCCTTATAGATACCTAGAAACGAGATGTCCTTGATCTCACCGTTTCGTTCGTCGACAAAGTGGTGATACTTGGACCACAGGCTACAATTGTCCGACCAGCACCAGCGATGATGCTCAAGACGGCAGCATCTAGGGTGCCAATGACAACGCTGATTTACGTCAATTTGCTCTGTGATATGAGGATAGTCGCATATCATATTATGTGGTTCCTGCCATGGACTGTAAACTGTGTAGCCCGTGATAGGGTTTAGAACGCTTAGACGACGGGTGTCATGTTCGCGAGTAGTGCAATGAACGTAGATCTCAAGACACATCTTCAATCTCCTTGACCACCTGTGGTTATGTTGGGCAGGGGTTTAGATGAAATATACTCTCAAGGTAGAACACAGAGTTACAGAGTCTGGTAATATTGATTGGCACCATCTCTCAGGAGGTAACTCACGATAAGCAGGTACATCATAGATATATATACGATGCCGCTTTGTCCCAGGTATATGATTGACAGTGGAATCAAGTCTCATCAAAGTTCATCAACCCTATTGTCATCGCTCAACGACGATGTTGTAATCTGGACAAGCTCTTTATTTACCATTTGTTAGCATAAATCCCTTCCGGTTTTCTCTCCCATTTCCATTGTCTTTGCGAACAGCGTCTAACTCAAGCCGCTTTCTTTCTCCTAACTAAAGAAGCTTGCTCCTACTCTTCCACCGTGTTCACCCTCGCCCACTTCAAAATCCATTTACCGATGCTGGGGTCTCGCACCTGACCCTCTCTCTTCCTCACCTGGCCTCGATGTGGTTAAGTCAATCAAGACGTCGTAGTTGGGTTTTGGAGTCGGAGTCTGACTGCTGTGCTCGGTGGTCATCCGGGTGTCAGGCTCGCGCCAAGAATCCGACCAAAAATAAACCAGCTCAATTACCCTCGACCGAAGACGCAGTTGGGATAACAGTTCGGCTGGATTGAAGTCAACAACCCGGGAATTTAAGTAGGTAGCGTCGCAATATGCGGCTGAGCCGCTTACGCGATGATTAGCATCAAAGCAAGGAAAAGTGGGAATAGGGGCCAATACAGCTAAGTACAGGGTCCTCGTCTGACCTATGCCGACATTGAGCAAGTAAATTTAGCTTGCATTGTCTTCATTTTCGATTATTTGGAGGCGACGGCAATATATCTGGTGACGTGGTCGGATACCGGGACCTTTTGTGTTCGCCAGGGTATTAATTCTACCCCATGGGCTTACTGTGACGATCAAACGCACCGCCAATCATGTTATCCGCACATTTTTCCATGTTGTGACTGTTGTGTAACCGAGTCATGCCTCCACGATTCCCTCCACGATACATCACTAACCTACGTTGTTGGTTATGAAGTCCTTAGTGTATGAGATCCGCGATGCAGACCCATCCATAGTCATACCCAAGTGCCGAAGCCATGCTGCTAATGCACTTGTTGGGAAACACTCGAGAGGCATGTGACCATGCGATGGGCATTATTTGCCTCAGATCTTCAATGCAGCCTATCACTGGATCCTATTTCGTGAACTCTATGCATATGCCCAGAAAGCCGTATTAGGAAAAGCTAACGGGTGTTGTCGGTAGCATGGCAGCATGGTAGCAGGCGCTTCGAGGCCACGCTTGTGTAATTGCTTGGTAGACTACATACGACCAAGTAACGACATGTTTCCTAATCACCGTTGAAACATCGTCTCGGTGGTCTCTCATTACCACGGGTTCCCGTCTAGACACTAGCCATGGGCTATTCGATCGTTCAACCAGTGAACAATAAACATACTGTAGCAAGCCGTTAAGAATAATATCCTCTCGAACAACGATGATATGCCGATTCCGATTCCGATTCCGATTCCGCTGTCGCATTCCTCTTGCTAGTAGTCCCGTAAATGCAGCCTCATATATGTGTGGTATCAATGCCCGCTCCCCATATAACGCCAATCCCGAATCAAGTACCTAGGTAGGTAGTGACGACCGCAATACTAAGTAGCCATACTAAGTGACCATGTTGTCGTCTCCGATTCCTTTATCCTTTCGTTCGTCTTGGAGCATCCGAATTAGCTTGTTAATCGTATTTCCGTCGCGTAGTCTTTCGACCTCTCTCACTGCCTCATCTTCATCCAAGCCCTCTGCCATATATTCTTTGATCTTGTCCCAGATGACTTTCCGCCTCGAGTACCACGTGCGGCCCCGCGGCTCCGGCCGCCAGCGCGAACCCCACGCAGCATCCAATTCCTCAATGGCAGGCTGTCCATCCATTCCCTCCCGATACTCTTTCCAAACCTCCTCTACTGTGCCGACAGTCCCGTATTTATACTGAGGAGGCCCTGCAGATCCCGGTGTTTGCGCAGCCGGTCTAGGTTGAACCGCCTGAGAAGAAGTGGATGGAGAAGTTGGAGGAGGCCTAGCAGGGCGGCTTGGCGTTTGCATAGAAATCGGCGGTCCCCGAGGGTATGAAGCAGCCGACAGCTGCGGAGGGGGCGGGGGTATAATGGGTCGTACGGAGGAATCGCGGGAGCTGAGTGCCTAAAAAAGGTGCAACGGGTTAGTGGATAATATAAATAATTTTTGAATACGGGGAATGGCATGGGTTTTTGGGGCATGGCACATACCGAAGCTGCAGCTTGATGGGAGGCCACTAAGCTTCCACGAAGGTCATTCAGCTGTTGGCTGATGGCATCGAATTGCGCCGAGATATGAGCGACGTATTGCTGGTGTTGCATCTGGATCTGGAGAATAGTGGCGACTAATTGTTCGGGGGTCCTACCCAGCAGCTGTTCTTCTGTAACCATAGCGGGTAGGGACATGGCAGCTTGAGGTTGACGATAGAATTGGGTTGCTGTCGTAGTCGGAGGAGCCGAAGCTGAAGACGAAGGAGCAATTATGGGAGCAGCAGCCAAGGGACTCGGATTCGGGATGGGGTTCGTTCTGGTATTAGATGTAGCTTGTCTTTTTGAAGGAATGACGCTTGCGCCGGCACTGCGCTGCAGGTCGGCTGCTGCAGGTCGCTTCAATGATGCCCCTGTCGCTGCAGGGCCTGGACCAGGTACCAGAAGAGCTGAGGTAGCGGTGCTAGTGGTAATGGTTGGGTCCGTGGCCGCGGCCGTAGATGGGGGCGGTACGTTACTAAGGCCGGCCGAGGGCGAAGGCAGCATGACGGGCCCCCTTTAACCAGTAAACTCGTCCGAGAGATCCAGGTAGGGGGGGATAATTAAAATAAAGAGTAGAGCTTCGAGTTATATGGTGGGGGGTTGGAAAGGGGGGTGTGAAGGAATAAGAAAAAATAGACTAGAACGAAAATGAATAAATAAAAGTAATAAAAATAAAAATAAAAACAATAATAGTAAATAACAAAATAGGTAATTAAGATATTAAAATAGTTCGGGGAACGGATATATTCAAGAAGGGAAAGAGGTTTGAAAATAAAAATGGAAAAAGGCTTTTTGGGTGATCAGACGGACGTCCGGGCTAGCCGGGGTCCTGTTTCTCTTAGTTGAATATAAAAATAGTAGAAGTGAAAAGTAAAGGTAGAAGTAGTAAGAAAGATGTAAGAGTAGGAGTAATAAGAGTAAGGTAAGTAAGAGGGAGGGAGAGGCCAGGTTAGGTAAAGAAACAGATGATAGATGACAAAGACAAGGAAGCAATAAGATCAAGACCAGGACCAGGACACCAGGATAACCAGGACACAGAACAAGGACAAGCGACCCGAAGTAAATAATAGCATGCGGTAGTTGATGAATGATGACAGCGATGACGATGACGATAATGATAGATGAGAACGCGACTTAGAGAAAAAAAGGAATAAGTCGGCATCTACATCAGCAGCAGCAGCAGCAGGAGGAATGGAATATCGGAAGTATCCAGCGATCCAGCGATCCAACGATCCAGCAACAGTAACATCAGCTTCGGTATCAAAAGGTATCAATGTATCAAAAGGTATCAAAGGTATCAACCATGGAGCTTCGGCATCAGAATCAGCATCGTTAATATCAGTTAAATTTTACCATGCGCGAGATGCGGCGAACTTGACCGAAGACCAAGGATGGCATTCCTATCGTCTACATATGTAATGCAAATGTGTGTTGTCCCGGTTTGTGTCGCCCTGGACGGGGTCACCTGCGGTGTGTCGGCTGTCAACGTGTTGGTGACATGTTGTGTGTGAGAGTGTAAAAAAGCGTAAGAGTTGAAGCCTGACAAGTGTACGTGCGTTGCAAGGTATGTTGGTGGTGATTATTGGTACTATTATTATCATTATCATTAGGAATTATTATGTTTTGTTACACCTTTTGTTTTTTTGCTGTTGTTCTAAGTACATGTATTTTCATCTCTTCATTTTCAAGTTTGTTTTAACCTAGTTGGAACCCCCGTTTGATAATTGTAGCAGAAAACGGAAGTAAGTGACTACAAAAAGAGCATTGGGCAATTGCGTAGGTCCCTTTAGGTCATATTGATTATGTACTAGTACAATACGATCAGGTACTTTACCCACTTGTACCTAGTATCTCGATTATCCCTACCCGTAGCTAAAAATGTGGAATCAACATGGACATCTTGGTTTATCTAGGCTAGATCACGTGAGATTAAAGCTAAAATGGTAACTAGGTATGGGCTACAGGTAGCACTTAACAAGTAATAGTGTAATGGTATATCATATTATCCTTATTATTGTTGTATTATAAAGTATCTAAGAAGAATATTTAATATTTATAAAATGTATATACTTATGTGTATACTAAGTAGGTTTAATAACCTTAGGTTATATAATAATACCTTTAAAACAAATAAAAAAACAATATCTTTATTATTAAAATAAATAAAATAAAAAGGATATTTATAATATAATTTAATTTTAACCTTTTTATGTAATGAAGTTTACCAAAAACTTGTTTTTATTATTGCTTAATTCTTTTTTTAATAACCATTTTATATATTTATTTCTTAATTTAATATATTTTATAAAATATTTATTATTTTGTTTTTTAATAATTTATTTTTAATAAGTCTTTAAAATTATTTAATTAAATTATAATAATTATTTTTTAAATATATTTATTAAAGAAATTAATTTAAAATAATCGATAAATATAATATTATAAATTTTAAAATATTATAAGAAATTAAATTTATATGTTAAATAACCGATTTATTTTAAAATACAAAATGGTTTAATATATTATTAATTAAATTTCTTTTTTAATATAATTGTTATAAAGATATTATATCTTTTATAAAAGTAAAATAAAATATAATTATTTTTTTTTAAAAATATAAATTTATATTATAAATTATAATATTTTTTAATAATC